ATCGTGCGGTTGAAGTCACGATTGCAAGCGATTGCAATGTGTGTTTCCATACAATCGCATAATTTTTCACCCGCGATTCTCCGATTATCTCGTATGTGTATTCAAAAGCGTGTTTTATCCAACGTTTCATTTCAAATAGGAAAATTGTACGACAGTGAAGGGAATCGAAGGAAATGGTGGAGTAACTCAACGCTGGTCAACTTTAAAGAAAGGTCTCGTTGTTTGGTTGATCAGTACTCGAACTATACATTTTTTGGATATCAGGTAAGTAAGGTAACACAGGTTTGATTAGTGTTTTAACCCTTGAAGAACGTGTACAATGATGCATTATGAGTCGAAAAACACTAGGTTCCAATACTGAAACCGAGTGAGACTGGGTGTAAATTACTACTACAGTTGAACCCGCGGGGTGTTCGAGATAACCGAGTTCGAAATAGCGAGGTTCGAGTGTATTTAAAATGACAAAGAAAATCAAAACTCGATATATAGCGGCCGCTTCCAGTGGAATTGAAAGACATTTTCGCTGAAATAGCATCCAAACTAAGAGAGGATTTATCCCTAACGAGTGCTAAGGATTATGACCTAGATTGTGATTTTCAGCAGAAGGAAAAAGAAGAATGAAAGAGATTATTATGATCGTGACGTGGAAAACGAATGGAGAAGTGAGATGAAAGTTTCTGAGGTCGAGAATTTGAACAGATCTTTGGATTCGCTCTAATTTCGAGGTTTTGCCGCTCACAGTTCGCTCAGTCCTTCGCGATGATAGTAGTCCAGTCCCACTGTTTTACTCCCGTTTGGCGCTGAATATAGGGTCGAGAGAACCTTGCAAGCGCATGCTCCACTTTGACCAATCAGATGGGACACAGCGGCAAAATGATTAATTATCTTTTCCACAATAGTGAATTTATCGCTCGAAGTCGAGCGATCGTAAGTGAGACATGAACTCTTTGAGCTATGTTTTCGTATTCACTTACGATCGCTCGACTTCGAGCGATAAATTCACTATTGTGGAAAAGATAATTAGTTTGCTAAAAAGATATGTGAAAGAAGAGTCTCTCTCGGATTGTTTTCAAGGTAAAAACCTTATCTGTTCCGTGACGGCCTTATCCACGCGAAATGAAACAAATTCCGGGAATTTTGAATTGCCGCCATTATGTTTGTATGGAAATGAGCGAGCAGGTTGGCGCACGCGCACTCATTTGCCACTGTGTCATCAGATGGCGCTTACTATTCTCAAGCGCCAACCGGAAGTAAAAACGCTAAAGACTGCCAGACTACGAGGAAAGAGAATCCTTCTTGCACACAGAGTAGATTTTGGTCATGATTTTTGTTTTACCTTCAGTTTAAGTTATGTTTGTTCTAACCTTTGAGGTGAACGGTGAAAAAACCTTGTCGGAAAACATTGCAGATAATGGAGGTGTTCGAGTAGCTCTTGAGGTAGGTAATGAATATTAAAATACGAATCTTATCAGCTTATCATTCTCATATGTTTAAATAAATTATTAGTAGTTTACATAATTATTTTGACCATGCTACAAATAAACGTCTCACACGCTAGTAAGGAATTGCGCCAAGACGACTAAATCGTGTTTCAGGATCTTTAGTCGTCAACATCTACAAATATGAGGTAGGTAGGGTACACGAAAGTAAAAAACTAAACTGCTATTTTCCAGGCAGTTCTAATTAGACTGTAGTTCTATTAATTTATTAATAATTAATTAATTAATAATTAAAATTTATATAGCGCAAATTTCATAAAAAATGATCAAATGCGCTTTACATGGATAAAAAGATTAACAATGATAATATATACAAAATGTACAAACATTATGGCAGATAAATATGAGAAATAAAAAATAAAATATAGAGGTTACAAGTTAAAAGCACGTCTAAAAATGTATGTCTTAACATTACGTTTAATTAAGCAATAGACAACACTTTCTATGGGTTTACCGGCGCAATAAACCCACGCGGGATGTTGTGAGAACACTCGAAAAGCTTGTAAATTACGAAAGATTTAGCGAAAGTTCAGAAAGTTTGATGTTTACCTTTCGAGTTTTTTTTTACTTTCAATTGTCTTTGATTTGTGGTCGTCATTTTTTCCTTGCAAATAAGGTTTTCAAGTAAATGTTGAATGAAAATATCTTCCTTGATATAAGCACCTGAGGCAGTGAAAGTTGGACAATCCTTCGTCCTCCCGCGGAGTGCAGTCATATTGCATATAGAGTTTTGTCAGTTTCTCGTTATCTATGCGTTTACCGGTACAATAGTACATAGGTTTTCAACCAGCTTCGACCAATCAAAACGCGCGTAGTATGAAAATTATTTTATAAAACTGATAACGATTCAAGATGACTTATTTAGCTTGGCAGACTGTTCCAAAGTTTGGGCGCGGCTGACACGAATGCTCTGGCTCCAAGGGTAGAAAGCATTTTGCCATGTGGAACATCCAACATAATACTATGATCAGACCTTAGTGTATATCTAGTGGATGTTTTACAACTAATAAGTTTACGGATATAGTCGGGTGCTTTAAAAGTAATGAGCAAAATTTCAAATTGGATACGGTTTAGCATTTTACTTCTGTAGATTAGGAAGTTACGAAAATGTGGCTCGATAAAGAATCTTATTCTCTTGTGTGCAGGCATACCGGAAGTGGGTTAGAGAGCATTGGGAGGAGCCCAGGCTTCCCGGGATGATGCTGACAAATGAGCAAGTGTTTTTTATTAGTTTCGCAAGGGTGAGTAGATAAACACAGTGACTTGACGTAATCTTTTAGGTTACGGGCGGAACAAACGGCGTCGGTAAATATAATACAATCCAGTTTACGCCAGTTAATCCAGAATCAGAAGGTTATCAGCTTCAGACATTAGCTGAAATTATTACTGACAGCTTAAAGAAAATTTCTCCTTGGCTAATTCCGTTTTTACCCTCGTGTCACGTGTGTGAGTCACGTGACACGAAGGTTATGGTGGTAATCGACGCATTTTTTCCATTTTTTTGTACGCATATTTTGTTAGCTTTCTATTGTTAACTTTCTTTGATAGCTTTCTTTTGTTAGCACAGGAATGTCTGATAAGAGCTTTCTATTGTTAACACAAGAGTTTTGGTTTGTATAAAAAACGTTGACAGGCCAAACACGACTCTTATGGTTCGTGACATTTGTACAATTGCCGTTCTGTTAGCACAAGAGTTCTGATTTGTGCTCTTTTCTCTCAAGGCTGTTTTTGGTTGTCTATTGTTAGTCTTCAGGAAATATAATCCAATCAGAATCCAGCTAAGAACGGTTTACAGGGGTCTTACGCTAGCCCATAAAAGAAGAAGAACAGATCTTGCCCTTTGTCACACAATGTCATCTATCAGTTGCTTACCTTAAAAAGTTCATATGGAAAATTGGCACCTAATAGAGAAACAACCTCGCTTGAAAGAAATCTAAAACTATATAGGAAAGGCTATAAAAAAAAAACACGCGCGTGGGGCGTGATTTTAGGCTTGTCAACCCCATTAAAACACTTGTGAGGATTACGTTAATGGTTTTGTGCCTGTGCGACTGTTGACTTGTTACAAACATACTTTATTTTATTATATAGACACGAGTGTTTTACTGGAAAATATACCACTCGTAAAATTCATACGAAACTACATCCAGGACCCGAGTGGCGTATTTTCCATATCCTCACTAGTGAGGATATCAATGACGTCATTTCCCGCTTTTGCATGGCTTTTTGTGCAAAGCTGCCAAACTCCGGTTGAAAATGGCGAGCGATAGTTCGTGAAATTCACTGAAGCCGACATGAAATCGTTCACTGAGGAGTGGGGAAATGCTAACACGAAGAAGAAACCTTCATATGACTTAAAATTATTCAAGGAGTTCAATTCCTTGCAAGTGAAGACGAAAGGAGAGAAATTCGGAAAGTCCAGCCACCGAGCTGCAAGAGTTCGCGATGAAGTTTGTGCTTTGTCTATATAATAAAAGAAAATTACACGGTGGCTTGAAGATATGAATTTTATTTTCTCGTGGTAAAAACAATATTTACTCATTCGCTGCGCTCATTCGTAAAATATTGTTTTTACCACTCGAAAATAAAATTCATATCTTCGCGCCGCCGTGTAATATCCTCTATATACTACATTCTAATTACATACAGCGGATGTTGACTTTGGGGCACTTGTTGAAAATGATCCGTACAAATTTGGTTAAATACGGTAAATTCAAGAAAAAAAAATAGCATAACAGAAAAATGTAACAATCACAATGAACGCATTGAAAACTCATATGCAATGTGTATTTCTGAGAATAACTTTTGAAAAAGTAATACCTAAGTTTAACCTAAAGTTAGTGAAGTATTTAAAAAAACAATTAGAGGGAGCATGGAGGGAGCGACAAAATTTTCTTCTCAGCGATAAAGACATTTGCACACGTCATTTATGCATGCATTCAATATAGCGATATTTCTCGTTACGTCACCTATTGTTATTAATGTGCCAACCAGAGAACTGTTGGCTGTTGAAACAAAGAGTTCTTTTGTTTAATGGTTAGCAAATTTGAATAACAAAACAAATGTGACGTAATGTTGATAAACAGTGAACACTCCTATACGCACGGTCGTGCGTATATTGAGTTATGCGTGCACGCTCGCGCTATTGAAATAGATAGCGTGACTCTGCGGGTTTTTTTTTAACCCGTTGCACTAAAACAAGTATTTTTTACTTTCCCACAGAAACTGGTGCAGTCATTACAGTAATAGAGCTGCTCGTGTGACTACAAAATATTATGACCACAGTCCCATGCCATGGAGGTACAGACAAAGAATTATCCTCTATCCTCTACAGTTATAAGCAGTGAATAACGTGCAAATATTGCATCTTAATCTAAAATGTTACATGTAAATAACCGCTGAATAGCTGTAGTTGCAAAGTGACAACGATAACGAGGAAATGAAAAATACCAACAAAGCATGCACAAGGCATGACTCAAGCTACTTGGAAAAAATTCCGGGTTCTCCCAACAGGATGTCGAACCTATATGGCATTCCGCACACCGGTCGGACGCTCTACCACTGAGTTACTGGGGACTCTTGCGACTCTAGGTTCAAATGTGAAAAACTACTAATACATTTTTCTCTAAGTATTTTGGTACTTTATCAAATTTTGATCATATAATTCTGATTCGTTGTGTAGTCGTTTTGTATGAGGCTAATGCAAAACACGGTTATGACGTATCGTTGCATATTGTTGGCTGCTTCCTATTTACATAGCCTGATGCGAACACTCTAGAAAGTTTGGGAGAATTCCAAAGTGCGGCTCGGGTTTACATAAACTTCTCCCAAACTATTTCCCGTGTTTGCATCAGGCTAGTAAAAGCTCTATTAAGCCCCCGGGGGGCTTATTTAATTTCAGGCCTCAAGAAGGGGGGCTTATCAGAGAGGGGGGCTTAATAGAGAGGGGGGGCTTATTTCAAATCATACTGAATGTTCAAGAAAAATTCACATTAATTTTTCAAACTTTACTATTACACCACTAACTAAAACAAAACAAGAAATGGGTTATGTATGACCGTCTTACAAAGGAAACGTCATTTATACCCTAACTCGACGATAGTTCTGGAAATTAAAACCACGTTTCATTACAAAGTGACTGAAACGCCAGAAAATATTGCTGAAAAGTCATTTACCTCAGCCTGACGGAAGGAGGGGGGGGGGGGGGGGGCTTAATAGAGAGGGGGGGCTTATTACAAAATCTGACTTCCAAAGGGGGGGCTTATTAGATAGGGGGGGCTTAATAGAGAGGGGGGCTAAATAGAGCTTTTACGGTATGTCAACCTGATGTACAGGACTATTGCATGGATTATTCAACCATCAGTGGTCGGTAGTTATCTTAGTTTCATTTATTCTGCTGAACATGGCCGGCGGGGTTCCAATATCTATATATCAAATGGAGTCAAGGGCTTACTATAAACGAGCGTTGCGAAAAGAAAATTATTTCAAATCTTTAACAATTATTGGATGAGGTTTTTGTGATATCCAGAATAATCAAGGTCGAGGCCCAGGGGTCGAGGTAACAGTTATCAGCCGAAGCCGAAATCACAAAAACCGAATCTAATAATTGTTTTATTATATACATTCAACGAAAAAAATAATGCTTCTGCCACCGATGTTGTTTACAGGGAACCTTTCTCATGTTAGCTGAGTAAACACAAACTTGTACGTGCTCGCACGTGAAACGCTCTGCACTAACAATTTATACAGTCGAAGCTCCCGTAAGCGCGGTCCCTCGGGAAGTAGAAAAAGTGTCCGCAACTGGAGCTGGCCGCTTACGGGAATGATTCTCGTAAGCGGCCACCAGTAGGCTTACGGGAGCTTATACCGCTCACATTTAAACAATCAGCATTAATAAAAATGCCATCGTATGAAATTAATATATATTTTTTATTTTCTTATGCAATCGTGGCAAAATAAGCCCTTGGTCATGTTAGTGAGGCTAATAGGATTGTTCCTTTGGTGTGTCCTCTTACGAGAGCTTAGAAACAACAGAAAAATCCAAATCCTACCCTGCTTACGGAAATGGCCGCTTACGGGAATGTGTAATACAGAGTTTGTATTACAGTTCAAACAGGGTTTTGACAAGGCGGCCGTAAATAGAGCTGTCCGCTTACAAGAGTGTCCGCTCAGAGAGCTTCGACTGTATAAGATATATATTTTAAATTTTCTCACTGTAAGTTAACTGATCACAATTTCTTTTTTCCTTATCTGCAGGGTAAATGGTACACTCATGAATTTCCCGGAGTTTTTCAAAGGTCTTTAACTGCCCGTTAGGTTCACCAATGAATCCTGAACACAAATGTAGAATTTGGTGAACGCTGGAAGAAATGTGTCAGACATTTCTAAAACTATTACTGTAATGTTTATATATACTCGCTAACAAATACATTTGGGTAGTTTAAAGCTCGCATTATAGGGGGAATAATATGAGCTTAGGGTTGCATTGTTAGAATATTTCCGGACTACGGCTCCGACAGCAGCACGATTCAGCTGTTAACGAATTGTGTACCATGAAATGAAGAACTCTAGGCAGTATTGTTCTAGTGTACCAAGAGCTTTTCTTTGAGGGATCTCGTAGCTACCTTAGGGCCTACACAGACTAGAGAGATAGTTGTCGACAATTATTTAGTTGTCAATCACAAAACTTCACACACTGGCTTTTTGTTATCGACAACTTTTTATGATCGACAACTAAATAGTTATCGATAAACAAATGGCCTAGTCTGTGGCCGGGCGCTGATAAATTATTCTCGCTCATTTTCGCGCGTTCTAATCTTAATTTCGCGATAATGACAGAGCCATATTTTGCAAGAATGAATTTTCGCGATTTCACAGAAAAAAAATGGGCTCAAAGAGTAAAATAAATGTCACCAAATTTGAATCACCATTTAAAAATCCGTCATTCGTGATGAACAATAAAGAAGAAAATTGAAGGGCCGTAACCAGGATTCATAATAATATATATAAAAAACGTTCTCTGGTTAAAAATTTTAAAACTATAAGCTTTCGACAACCGTCCTGTTTGTCTTCAACGGATAAAAATGTGGAGAAAGCGAATGTGCGTACATGATAAAAAGTAAAAAAATTAGCATACGCGAAAGAATTTAAAACTAGGGAGTAAAAAGGTGCGAAAGTCATTTTCTTTAAAAGAATGCGGTATTGACTTGGAAGCGAGCATGAGTTATTGTCAGCGTCAACGGTTTTTGAAGTGTGCCAAGACTCAAGGGTTTTAAGGTGGCGATAATTGCCTTTGTCAATAATAGAAGCATTGTCAAAGTCGATGTGATGATTGTTGGACCAAGCATGGTTCGCGACATTAGAGCCTTTGGTGTGGCATTTTTACATTTCTGGTGTGTTCTTTCTTTCTGGTGTTAAATGACCTCCCGGTTTCGCCAATGTAACTCCACGACATGAGGTGCAAGGAATTTTGTAAACAACATTGCATTGATCATCTTTTTTCGGACGGAATTTTGGAGCAGGGAATTCTTGTTGAAGTGTTTTTCATCGGTTTATTAGTGACTTGTATGTCGTGAAAAGCAAGTCAGGTTGATTTAGGTTGATTTATCATTTGGAAGTGGTAAAGTCTTTGTCACTAAAATATGATTTACTCAAAATACACTAGCCAGCTTGGAAAGGATGGTGGGGATAGAAAGGAAGAAACTGGGAAGGGTGTATAAAAATAAAATTCACATCATAACAAACTGTGTTAATTTTACTTGCCAGATAAATTTATTATTTATCTAATCTTGATAAATATGAAGAATGTAATTTACAGAAACAGAGTTGTAAGACTTGAAGAATGTGAATTGAACTGATTTTTTTTTTCAAAACTGATCAGTTATGTTAAGCTTGAAGAAAAAAGTATCAATTCATTATTTTGAGATAGTGACTGACTTCACAAGCCAAGTTAAAAACAAAAAGAACAAAGTAATGTTAAATTAAAGTGTGGAGACTACTTGATCAGAGGGACTCCAACATGGCGTTTCCATACTGAGCTCTATAAATTTGTGTGGAACATTTTGACAAATAACTCGAGTACGGAATACCGCACAGACCTGAGACTTGGACTGATTCCTTATTTATAACATTATCTATGACATGTCATTTCCTTGACTTCATTCATTGAACGGTTTTTATTTTTTTTATTTATGGCGTGACAGTGAAAACCGAGAATAGGAAGGTGCCCAGTCTCGTTGGCATATTCCGAAACTGCGGAGTTCTGAGTACCAGCAAGCTGCATGTCTCTGTCGTGTTCCTTTATTCTTTCACGCATCGATATCGCTGTTTCACCGATATATACTTTACCGCATTCACATGGAATCTTATAGACAACACCGTCTCGTCTCGTTCTCGCGAGTCTCGTCTCGTTTCTCGCGAGACGCGTCTCGTTTCTCGCGAGAGTCAATGAGCCGGCATATATATTACTTCCAAACTCGCAAGTGACACCTCGCGTGTCAATGGCGTATGTGTCAAATGTTTTATCTACGATCCGTTGCCAAATCGATGGGACCGAAGGTCCAATGTATAAACAAGCAATAATGTTCATGTAGTTAAACGTGTTGACAGAACCAGGGTAAAACTTACTGGCAAGTACAGAAAAACGATCCGCGTATATCGATCGTTCGCAAGAATGGCGTAGTATAGCCTGCGTTGCAGCCGGTATCCGGTGTCAAAATCCTCGTATATACTGGATTACCGGCTGCGACGCAGGCTAGGCGTAGTAATCGAAGGCTAGATTAATGGCGTAACTTATCGAAGGCTTGATTCATTACGATCGTATCGAAGGTTAGATTTATCGCGTAACTTATCGAAGGCTTGATTCATTGCGTACCGTATCAAAGGCTAGATCATTGCATCTTTCCGAAGGCTAGCCTGCGAGAGCAGACGTAATTTTCCGGCTCGAGTTCCTTCGCCGAAAATTCGGCGAAGGAACTCGAGCCGGAAAAATTACGTCTGCTCTCGCAGGCTATCCGAAGGCTTGATTCATTGTGATCGATGTATGTATGCATGTATTGTATCAAAGGTTAGATTTACCAATTATAATCTGGTTACCGGTTACCGATTTCAGAATTTCAGTTACCGGTTACCGATTCCTAATTTCGAATCTTTACAACATTTCTTGGGTACTAACTATTAAAATATCTATAAAACATGAATTGTCGAAACTGTTGCCTAGTATAGAAACAACAAATAAGCGCTTTATTATATAGACACGAGTGTTTTACTGGAAAATAGACCACTCGTAAAATTCATACGAAACTACCTCCGGGACCCGAGTGGCGTATTTTCCATATCCTCACTAGTGAGGATATCGATGACGTCATTTCCCGCTTTTGCATGGCTTTTTTGTGCAAAGCTGCCAAACTCCGGTTTTTAAAATGGCGAGCGATAGATTCGTGAAATTCACTGAAGCCGACATGAAATCTTTTCACTGAGGAGTAGGAAAATGCTAACACGAAGAAGAAAACTTCATGACTTAAAATTATTTCAAGGAGTTTCTTGCAAGTGAAGACGAAAGGAGAGAAATTCGGAAA